TAATAGTGAGCTTTTATTAGAGCTGTCACTATTGGCAGATTTTACAGTGGATATTATGTGATGTTTTAATATGCATTTAATTTTAATGTGTAATATATTTGCATATATATGTGCATATATTTCATATATACACATACATATGCCCATAACATAACAGAATATGGTTTTAATTGTAAAATATGTAAAATATCTTAAGTCTCCTGTAATTCTACTTAAAGAATGGCTATGTACAATGTAATGTTTATCTTTTATTTTGAAATATATGTAATTGTACACAGATGAGACTAAAATAAATAAATAAATAATGTGTGTATATTTGAGATAATTGTTTCATTTATATCATCTGTAAGTGAATTATCGCCGTATAGTAAAGTAGTTGTGATTTGTCTTAAATTGTTTGTTAGGACAGTTCGGTCATCTTGATACATGGGGAAGCGGAGGAAATAGTGTTCTGTATTTTCTATTTCGCCACATATACAGAAAGGGCTATTATGTTTTTTTTTATAAAACAAATGTTCTTTCAGAGAGCTGCAATGTGTTCTTAATCGTGTATGTATTATTTCATTTATTTGATATCTTCTTTCACCTACATAGTAGTGAGTTGGGCCTTTTTGGACATCTTCGTTTACTAAGACTGTAGTCTTTTTTTGAAAATTGCAAGTGATGGTGCATTTCTTAGTTCGACAGGGAGATCGTTCCAGTCTTTAATCGAAGATGGTAAAAATGAATTTGAATAAAGTTGAGTTTGACAGAAAATATTTCTAGTGTTACTTGCATTTATTGTTTTGTAATATGATCCTGACAAAAATGATTGATTGACCCTCATCAGTCTTAGGAAAAAAAGTTATATCAAATTAGTTCAAGGATTTACAGTTTAGAAATTGCGATCGGTATTCAGCAGAAATTATTGGATTTATTGAGACAAATATAATTTGATTCATAAATCCAACCAGTATAGCGCTTAAAAAAGTTGATTACCTGTTATTTCTCCGCGATAATCGATAATTTATCGATCATTTCAATTATCGTGGATAAGAATTATAGCTTTCGTCCCTGTCAGCGCGACAAATCCTTTAATTTACAAGGATAACAGTTTTCAAAGAGGGCCATTTAATTCGGCTGAGTAGCCGTAAGCTGTAATTTTGACAATGAGCCGTAAGTACAATATGTCACGTATGAAATTTCCGGCGACTGAAAAGAAAGGTATAATTTAATGGTATCAGAATATAATAACGGGGTTTCCATAAAATTTTGATATTGAGCAGCGGGAAAGTACTCGCTTTTATTTGAAATGACAAGATTAACAAAGGTAGAACGGTTGTCCTTTTATCTAAGCTTATGATGGTCAACGCATTTATATTATGTGCTCATAGTCTTTATTTTACCAGCAGACGGATTACCTTCATCACTTTTGCAACACAATGGCAAGATAAAAAAAATCTTGATACATATTTTATGCACTTGAATGTCCTCGGATATTCCTGTTTGGTTGAACATATATGTCCTTCTGGCTGTGCAGTTTGCAGTATTCGATTTGTTTTTACAACAGCGAGAATGCATTTTGTGGTCAAAGCAGTCTTTTGCAATGGTCGATAAAGTCTTCAGAACTGTGTCTTCACTGTTTTTTTTACATACATAATATAGATATATCCTTAACTGAAGATACGTGTCAATATGATGTACCCTTTACCTATATAATTAACTTAAGATACCAGTCTTTCTAACACAAATAAAACCTGATTGCTTACACGTCATATATACGTCAAATATTGCGTTAATAAACCAAATGACGTCAGGAGAATTATCATTATGCCAAAACTATGAATGTCCTTCTCGCTGTGCAGTTTGCAGTATCCGATTTGTTTTTACAACATTGAGGTGAAAGCAGTCGTTTGCAATGGTCGATAAAGTCTTCAGAACTGTAAGTGTCTTCACTGTTTTTTTTACATACATAATATAGATATATCCTTAACTGCAGATACGTGTCAATATGATGTACCCTTTACCTATATAATTAACTTAAGATACCAGTCTTTTTAACACAAATAAATCCTGATTGCTTACACGTCATATGACGTCAAATGTGGCGTTGATAAACCAAATGACGTCAGGAAAATTATTTTCACGCCAAAGGAAGTTCAACATATTTCATGATTTCTCTTTTTAATAGCATATAAGAATGGAAATAGATATTAGTTTTTCTTGCATTATAGTATAATAATGTACAACTGTTATTATTTATAGTTTTGTTTTTAATCATTCAAGCCTATCGGCCTCCGCGTATTTAAACTCGAACCATGCATGTTTCTACAACAATGCACTCAAAATTGATATATATTTCCTAAATATGATTAACCCTTATTTTACGATACAGGTCAATATAGTATACACTTAACTTAAGATTCTGGTCAATATAATGTGCCCTTAACTTAATATTAATTTATTTTAATTCAGAAATTATAACGCTTTCGGCTATTTACACCGGTTTACAGTTTTTGTTCACAAAGGCCGGAGGCCTGAGTAAATTTTTTCGCGACAAAACGACAAAGCCGTGTGATAAATCTTCATATATTTGTATAAATAAAAATCAAAGAGTTGGCTGAAAAATATCATGACATTGCAAAAATATCTCCAACCCAATGGTTCCCGTATATTGCAAAATGGTCAACCATATAACAAAATATATGTCAATTTTGCGTGCTATAGGCAGCGTTTGCTTTCATATTACTGTTTATGTGTAAGAGAGCAAAGGCCGTTTTATAATGTATCACTTTTTATTTACATGGTGTATTTTTTTCGATTTAACAATTCTGTCATCGCTAAAAGATCAAAGGGAACGATAAACATTGGTAACATTTCATCATGTTTTTATTTACTCAGTTTCGTTCGTATATAAAAAATAAAAAGGCAAGAAAAAACTGGATGCATTATTTGCTATGAAATTAGTTGTATAGTTAGATTTTTTTTTGTATAATAAAATGATATGTCGTGTCGTCCGGACGACTAAATTACATCGTTACCACGGCTATATATCAAAGTTACTCATACTCATGGCTTAATCACGTCGTTCCTATATCTTTACAACCCTGTCGGTCACTTCCGGTTTTGAAAATATTATCGCTTTTCGGACTTTATACCACTCGAGTCAATAATGCTCCAAATATAGAATTTTAAGGAACTGCCTCATTTTGCGTGATTTTAACTTTGGTTAATAAAAATGGATTTTGTAATACTTTATAGTAGAGACGGATTTCTAGTTGACCGAAGTTACAGGACAATTTAGTTTTCTTATTTTTGATATGCCAGCTACGTAATTCAAGCAAAATTAGAAATTTCAATGTCTTAGTAACCATAATAGGCTTGGAGGTTAGCTTATTTTTTTTAATTTGATTTTTTTATTGTATTGAAGAACATAGCAGCACCGTATTATTAATAGAGGATAATTATTTAAGTTTTTTTTCTTCTATAAATACAAGATCTATTTTCATCGAGTGATATAAAAATAAAATATTTCACGAGTAAGATGAAAGGGAATCCTGTATTTATATATGAAAAATGAATTTTTTGTTTGTTATATACCATTTTCTTAATCTTCTTTAGTTTTGTTAATTGACTGCAGTAAGAAGAAAGTAGTCCGGCAAGACACTAGTGAAAGTACAGAAAATATGTTTAACTGCAGTGAACGATTTTTTTACAGTGAAAGTACGGAAATGAAAACATGCATTTTTTATTTCATTATTTTTTCTTTGTATTTTATTTATAAGTACATAATAAATACTTGTATTATTATTTCTGCCATTTTATTGTATTTCAAGTTGTTAAATTTTTCATATATATATATTTTCATAACGTGAAAGTGGAACTCCATGATCGAGTGGTTAAGGTCGCTGACTTTCAATCACGTGGCCTTCAACTCGTTGGGTTCGAATCCTGCCTGGAACATTGGATTCTTTCATGGGAAGAAGCTATCCAGCTAGCATACGACAGGTGCTCAGTTCTACTCAGGTGCCCGGTTGTGTCTGAACTAATGCATCAAGGGGCACTTGACGTCCTTTACCAGTAAAGCCTGAATGTAATATAACAGTTACAGTGTCGGTGCAACGTAAAGCCCAACAATAACAAACTGTTCATAACTTCTTAAGACGACCAACTCGCTCGAGCAATATGTTCCAATTGCCAATGAACATTCGTGCCAGTATATTGTAAATTAAGAACTAGCTTATGTGTTTAATGATTTTCCATTGCGTGTAAGAATGAAATAACATTTGATAATGAAATATAAGAAAATAAATGAAACGTGTATGAAATCTGAAACATTGGACTTTAAGTGAGATACATGTATTTACTTCATAATAGATATTGTAATGTATAGAACCATTTTATTCATATTTGCTCGACAAGTATAGTTTTATAGGTGCTTAGCTTAGCATTTTAAAGAGGTAATTTACTTAGAACAACATACTACAGTTCCATTGTGCAACAAAAAATCATATTGTTTTAGATTAACTTAAAGGGGCTCTTCTCAGGTTTTTTATGACGTGACGATCAATATTCTAGAGATTAATATTCTATTTGATGTAGCTTTAGACCAATGCCTTGTTTCAATCAACCGAGGTTTGAAAAGCCCAAAAACATAAAATTTGAATTTCTTACATAGATCAGCTCGGGAGCTATAAACAGAAAGATATGCAATGATAACTGAGAAATATACAATGTACTCAGAAATTTAAAATCGTATTTTGTGCTAAGTCTGATTTGAGTGAACAGCGTTGTGCTGACAACGCTTTTCTTTTTTATTCTTGAATGGCGGGCTTGTATTCGGAACTGTTCCTGTTCATCGTGGCCTCTGGAAATAAAGCAGAATTTTACGCGTTGTCTAAGGTCTTACACGTCTGTTAAAGGTTTTAAAGGTTAATTTGACTTTTAAAGTCAATTTAGACTTAAGCTATCCTTACGAGACGCTAAGGGAAAATGAAAATTAAGAAAGTAAAATAAGTTATAAATATTTTAATACAATAACACTGCACACAATTTCAACAATAAACAAAATATGTTACTCATATATAACTATATTGTATAACACATATTACATTATGTACTGTTCATAGTTCACATATAAGGTCGTGTACATAAATGTGTATACACGTGTGATAACACGTGAGTGTAAAATAATGTTTTATGATATTATTCCATCTTACAAAAAGCAAAAACACAATCATCATGATCGCAAATGTTTTTACTAATTTTGTCCTTTTCGGCAATGATCTATTTCAAATATTTGATAATCTCCTTCATTTAGTAAAAAGCCATGCGGTAAAACATACTTTACCAGAACTAATAAATATTGAAAATACACATGTTTGTTTGTTAAACAAAGTCAATGATGAAAATATCGTCTGGTTGTCACGTGGCGTGATGAAATCTCGTTCAATGTAAGTAAAATGTACGTTATCATTTTGATATAAATGAATCTTTATGTACAAGCTTTCATAAGTTTTGTTGTCACGAAAATTCCATGCTAACGCTCCGCTACAGTATGCTGTAAAACTTGGATAGAGCTTAGTTTAAAAAGATAATAAAATCAAAACATTGCGATTTGCAAAGTCAACATTCACTTGTGCAAGTATTCAGCGTTTTAACTATGACACATATATATTATGTTTTATGCGCACAATTTCACTAAATTTGTCCTTAAACATAAAATGATGACGTCACGAAGTCATGTGACCCGATATCTCTTCGTATAATTATTGCAGAATATTATAGTATTGCAGTTTTTTTTCTTCGACAACCCGCACATGACTTAAAAATCGTCCATACCAGTTTTCGTCCTTTCGTCGCCCTTTAGGTATTGCTCTTTTTTGCGCCGTTTTAAATTTTTAAAAAAAACTAGATCTGCGCATGCTCAGTCTGAAAACGAGACATTGTTGCTGTCCTGGCTGTCCGATGTATTTCCCCAGTGACACTCAACTGCAATAAAAAAGACAAAATTTGCATAAGAGATGACGTAGTAAAAGTGTAAGTAAGTATGATAATCAGTTATTTTTTCGTGTTTATCAGTAAATTGAAAAGGAATGAAAAAAAAGTTTTTAACATTTTTAACATCCAAACTTTGTTAAGGCAGAGTCTCATTTTGCATTTAAAAATTTGTTTGCTGGAATTCTGTAAAATATAGTAGAACTTTCGAAAAAATATCAATTAAAAGAACACATGACGAAATTAATTTCTTTACCACGCGAGTAACTTTAAAAATGAAAGTTAAATATAACATACATGTACCTTCTAGCTCCATTTTCTGTGACGACAAGGATCCAGGACTAGAATGGCTTCCATTATGTTGTTGTTGTTGCTTCTTTTGACGCGCACGTGAGTTTTGGAACCAGACTTGTGTCACGCGCTTACTGAGACCGGTGATCTGTGCTATCCTTTCTAGATCTTGACCATCCGGGTTCGAATCCAGCTGAAAATTGGCCTGTAGAACTTGGATTTGTTCTTCTGTAAAAGTTGTCCGCACTCGCTTTGTTTTGGTCTTTTGTGATGAGTCAGAATCTTGAAAAACAGAAGTGCATGTATAAAAATATTAGTATTTGAAACGAGTTATATCATATAAATTATTTTTTGAAATTTAAATGTCTAATATACAGAGGATATTTTTTTTCTATGAATACAGGGTTTAGTTTCATCGAGTGGTATTGAAGAAATGAATGTCAGTATATAGTAATTTTCGTAACACAAGAAGAAAATAAATCCTGTATTTATAGGGAAAAAACTTGAATTTTCTGTTTATTATATTATACATTATTGATTATAAAGTAATACAAAAAAATGTAGCTAAATTTAGAAAAGAAAAGCAGTCCGTCAAGACGCCAGTGAAAATACGGAAAATATGTTTCACTGCAGTGAAAAATATTTTTTTACAGTGAGAATACAGAAAATGAATATATGCATTTTATTTCATCAATATTTCTCGATATTTCATTTATAAGTATATAATAAATGTTAATATGAGACAGGTTTTTTTTTATTTTTGAAAGAAAAACAAATAATTTCTAGCTCCCATAAAATTCATTACTTTTGAATGCCTAAATAAATGTGTCTCATTATGCAATTCATTTTTCTCGTTTTCACATTTTCCAATTGGATCATTTTCTATGTTAATGTAAATGATCTCAAATGATGGTCAAAGACCACCAGCTAAATTCTGGCCACAAGAGATGCAATAAATCATCTTATCTGGTAAGAGATCTCAGTCGGTGGCTTTAATCCATGCCAGTAGTAAAACAAGCGTTATAAATGACACAACCACAAGTCAAATGTTGACAAATTACTACACTTTAATTTGTCTCTATAGCTAATTTATGTAATTATTATCTGCGAACCTGCTTTATGAAGTTCACTATCGGCCAATCAAAAGCCAATTTATCATTTACTGCGGCGCTATCAAGATGGCGGATAAAACAACAGAAACGCAGACGATCGTTACGTGTTGTATCAAGGGATTTCAAATGTTTTCTTTGCAATGAAACATGAAATAAATGCTACGTTTAACGATTAATATCCCAGATTGTGATGTTTGGGTTCAAAAGATGTTAAAAAATCACGTTAGCTATGGTTGCCATGCAGCAGAACATATGTATTCATGTAAGAATTTTTTTTTTCATGAAAGGAAGTTCGAAAGATCACAAATTATAATTTGGATAAAATGATTTGTACGTGTTGACATTTTCATAAATCGATTTTGTACTGTATTTGATTTTATTTAAGACATTTTCGGGTGCAACGTCCCGCCATGTTTTACGTGAATAATGTATTCCAGATCTAGGTGTGTTTCTTCCATTTTTACGGTATATAGCAGATTTTTTCCACACAAAAAGGTGGCATTCATTCCGGGACTTAGACGAGATATGAATTTCTATATTTAGATAATTACCTTTGTGACTTCCGCCTTCTAAGACATCAAGGTAATGCGGTTTACACAACACTTTGTTCCCATGGAGGGCAAATTCTTCTCCCGTTGATAACTGGCGTTTGCACGAGTCACAGGCAAAGCACGCGAGATGGTATACATGATCACGTGCACGTCTCACCCAATCTGTAGGTTGTATAGAACGGAAACATTTCGAACATTTTTGCGCCGAACTCCCTGTAAAAAAGCAAAGAACATTACATATTTATAATAATTGTCATTTTCTAAGGTTTTCTGATGTTTATACAGTAATTAAATATGCACAGTAACCATTTGAACTCATGAAACAGTATTACAGATGTATTGTACCATAAAAGGGTCTGCCCAAAATCCAAAATATTGACTGTTCAAATTCAAGCACAGCACGCAGCAAGTAAATTAGATACATTAAGCATAATTATAATAACAAATTGAACACCACGATGAACATGTTTTTTGGGGTGTTGGTTTATAAATAGGTTGGAATTTTCAATATTTGCCTTTAAAAACAAATACAAAAAATCAACAAAAAGTTGACCATAGTCAAAAAAAACAAAACAAACAACAACACTTTTCTACTAAGTCATTTTTGACAAATAAAGTCCGTGCTTAAATTAGACATTCGTATTCATGCTATTTAATTTAAACGATCAAAAATCAAGAAATATCATATTTTTTCGAAGATAATTTGATTCAAAACAATTTTTTTCTTCCACTATTTACAGCAACAATGACAGCAGCATAGCAATGCATCTTTACAAAACATAACCAAATAATGATGTATTCATCCGCTGCCTCTCGGAGGACCAAAGTCCAAAGCACTCCGTACGAATTCTGTAAAGCAGACGACAAATTGATTTCTCGTCTGATATTTGCTAACAAGGCTGCAATTCTATGGGCTGATTAGTCTAGTAAATTGGGGCTAATTTAGGGTCTAAACGGTGTGTGTAACTCGATTTCCGTAACTCCGATATAACCAAGTGTCATAGTCAATAGTTGAGAACAACATTCTGCTTCCAGAATACTAATCGAGCAAATCTTTTGACTTCTAAAGAACCCAACTGATTCAATAACAAAAATAAACGCACTTGTTATAAAATGAACAAAAGAATTTTGAGTAGAATATTACAGACAAATATCCTCACATTGAAAATGTTTAGCAAAGTTTTAAGATTCATTAAGTTGTTGTCTTTTGTACTGACTTTTTAATGCATAAATCAAGTTTTATGTGAAATAAAAACCTTTACTTTAAAATTCTAATAAGTCGGGCGAAAGATTTTGTCAAATTTAAGGAAATAGTCTAGAATATGTTAAAAATTATTTTCGAAAAACTAAAAGGTTTATTGTATCAAAACTTTCAATTTCAGACTACTAAAATTTTAAATTGTCTCTTTAAAAACTCGAAATGTTTTGCAAATTCAGCAGTCTATGGCAAATTTCGCGTGCAGTCTTTTTTAATATTTACAAATAACTTTGTTTTTACTTTATAATATGACACTTGTTGCGACTTTTATCAATGTTCAGTTATATTTTGATAATAAAATTAAATGTAAACATGTTCATTCCATCCCTTATATTGCATGCTGTGCAGCAATAAAAGAAAAAAATTGGTTTTAGATTTACCGCAGACGTTGCATAAATTATGAAATATGAAAAGTAGGGTTCAGATTTTGTTCTTAAAAAAAAACAAAAAAACAACAACATCTATACACATATGAATCGTTTTACGAAGTAAGTGTTGTTATTTTTTCAAGGTAGAGTAAGTGAGATTAATTGAAAAGAAATATTTTATTTATAAGTCTATAGTTTTTTTTCTTCAGATTAATTATCATAATTATATTTTTTATTTTTTATTTATTTATTTATTATTATCATTATTATTATTATTATTATTATTATTATTATTATTATTATTATTTATTTATTATTATTATTATTATTATTATTATTATTATTATTATTATTATTATTATTATTATTATTATTTTGATTTTGTTGTCATGCGTTGTGCAAGTAAATAACTGGCATTTTCATAACTTATGAAAATGATCAATTAAAAAAATTACATAAAAACGTGATGATGATGATAATAATAATGATGATAATAATAATGATGATGATGATGATGATGATGATGATGTACTCTCATATTTCATTTTTTCGGTCCATTGTCACCATTCCATTCCAAAATAATTATTTATTATTTAATTATTATTAACTCATCAGAAGAGGAAAACCCTCGGGTCTGCTACAATAAAACCTACCTCGCGTAATCCAGTCTACAGTAAATGTTATCTTCCCGGATAAAGCACGTGTTCTGACGGTCTAGGGCCGTCTGACAGACGCAGCATCGAAGACAAGCCACGTGCCAAGATTGGTCATTGACCTTGAGGATAAATCTGTCGGTAATGTGTAAACCGCAGCCGAAGCAAATATCGTCGTCGGTCTGAAATTGAAAACAAAATCAAATTAATCAAAGAACGCCTAAGAAACATGAACAGAACATTATTTTATGACACAATTGATTTACTTAAGTATTGTAAATTTACATTAAGAGGACATAAAAATTGAACGAAATTGTCAATAGGTTTACCAATTGCCTTTCGAGTACAAAGAAACCACCACTAATGTGACAACAAAACAAAAATGCACCACTACAAACATCTTGAAATAATATATTTTATTGAATTTAACTTCTCACATAAAATGCCTCAACGAAATAAGGTAAGGTAAAATTGGTTTGTTACAGTGACATGTATTACCTCTATCTACATACATGTATCATATTTATATTTAAATGATATGCATATGAAATGAAATATTAAGAATTTGAAGTTGACTACTTTTTTATATATATTTATGCATTTATATAAGCATGGAAAGCGCTACCGAAATAAGGGGCTTGATATTATTGTTTAAATCTTTAAAAATCTTTTTCTTCCTTTATTTAATAACTCAACATTAAAAGAGCCAATAAATAAAAGAAATAAGAAATCAAAGGGCTGCAACCTCTGTGGTATTTTCTGATCTTTGCAATCTAAATCATACTGACTATCTGTATGTATTTTCCTATATAAGTTTATTTTTATATACTATAATTAATCTTACGCAGCGACTGCGTCTATAACAGTTTGAGATTGATACATATGGAATTTTGCATGACTAGAGTTGCATCAAAAAATCATTTTCATTTTTTATGACAGCCATACTTTATCCTTGCATATCGTGGCTACTTCCTTAAAAAAGACACTTCAAAAAAAAAAAGTTGCCTCGACTAGGATTTGAACCTTGGGCCTCTTACACCCTAAACGAGCGCGCTACCTCTGCACCACGGTGAAGTAATACATATGTAGCTTGAATAATAACAAATACATTGTATTTCTAAATTGAGAATTTCCATTCCGTGTTTGTAATCCTTACTAATTTCGAGGTATTTTCTTCACTAAAAACCTGTTGTTTAACACTAATGAAAATAATTTAGCGAAAATCTTCTCGCCAAAACAGTACGACATGTATTTATTCCACTACTCGACAGTCAGATTTATGTGTACTACACTCTGGAGTATTCGGTAATCGACATAGCTAAAAATAGCATTTTCATTGATTAAGCTTTACGGAAATAGCCGAACATTTTTCATTGGGTAAAAAAGATATTCATCCGCGAAATTTATGATTGTAACCTCATATTTCTATTGACTACTCTAAACTTTTAATGCACTGTAATTCGTTAAATGCATACATTAAAAATTATTCTTTATTTTTAATTGCTGGTTTTTAAGCAGTTTTGAGTGAGAACTACTTTGCGTTGTTAGGTCTGTTAGGAAAATTTGTGTTAGACCGTGGATGTTAGCTATGTATTTACTGATCTTGCGATCAGAAAATACAAAAATCAATCAAACAAACGCTATGGCACGTTGTAAGCTTAAGTTCTTAGAAATTATACATGAATAAAACAAAAACGGTTATCAAAGAAAATAAAGTAGCTAAAAAGAAAGAATAAGCCACGATGCACTTGGAGTATTTCAGTATACAGGTAACAGTAACTGAAGCTTACATTTATCCATTTATTATTTTATTTCATGGATGAATAGATGATGAAATTTAAAAAGTCAAAATTTTATTTCAGGAAGACTTCATGTATAGACAGACGAACGATTAAACAGATAATGTTTTCATAAATTCCATGAGACCTTCAACAAAGAACAATGAAAGTTTATCTTCTAAGAAAGATGTACAGATACCGTTTATTATACAACAATAGTCAAGATGTGGTAAAATATATGCATTGTAAAACGTTTGACGTACAGGTATAGACATGAATAGTTTTATACAATATAACAAGTGTAACAATGAGTTGCATTTTTTAAAACATTATCAATACGCCTTTGCAAAGACAATGTGTTGTTAATTGTTACATTCAATATTTTCAGAGCTACAAACAATTTGATCAGTTTTATACAAAATATAAGGATAAGTTTCACAAATATGATTTTACTTGTGTTTAAAGGAAATACATAACCTTAATTTGGGTAGCATTGTTAAAGCACGCCATTTGTTTGCATTTAAAAGATCATGAGTAAGAGATTCAACTACTCTGTTAAGGGATACATCAGAAGTTGACAGGGTATCAGTGTCTGGGTTTTTTCCATAGACAAAGGTTGGCCTTTTTAAAAAAAAGAGTTTATATATTTAAAATGATTTCAAAGGATTTTTTTACAAAAATTGGTCAATATGGACAAAAAATAGATTTGAAAGATCCCAATATGGAGTATGGTTGTTTCCTTTTCAAATAAAAATGAAAAATCAAGTCGTAACATACCAGTATTTGCAAAATATATTGAAATTCGTATGAATGTAGTATGCAGTATGTTTTTATTTTATTAACTTCTTTTTAAGTTTCTTTGGGCCATTGGTATTGAAGGTGTCGACATTCGTTTGAAGTTTAAACAATTACGTCACCCAGAATTCTCGCCCAATATTTCTACTCGCACGACCATCAAAAATGAAATTCCAAAACAATCAAGAGACAAAATAAAACTTGACAAAAAATCTTGATCAGGTCCATTCATTGGCACTCAACACCGCGTTCTGAAGTTCATTACCGAGCGCCCCCTACTGTTCAACTCTCGAGACGCCATCTGGTGTGAAACTACAAAGAACGGTAACTTGGTATGGTAGTTGTCAATGGCGGCACGTGGCAGAGTTAGTGTATCGATTTATAGATCATGAAAATGCCATGGGAATTTGGGAATACGAAGACGCTCTGATTGACCAGTTTGATAACAAGGACAAATTATCACAAAGCATAGAATCCTTGTCTATTAGCTCCGCCCACAAATTTATATGAAGATAGATTTATTAATGTTGTAAAATATAACTATGATTCTATGATTATTTTCCCGAAAGAAATGAATATATCAAGATGAAGTTGGTATAATGTTCAGTCAAAGTTTATCTTCAAAATTGAATGAATAAATAAAAAATAAACGAACGAACGAACGAACGAATAAACAAACAAACAAACAAACACAAACAAACAAACAAATAAATAAATGTGTAAGTCTTTTATTTATTTTTTTACATAAAGAACATTTAATATTTTCGAACAAGCTCAAGTGAGAAAAGTTTTTTGTTTTTTTTTTTTAACTTCGAACATTAAATATCACAAATTTATGGAGTACAAAAAATAAGGTAATAAAGTAAAGAAAATAATGCTACCTTCGCATTGTTCTCAGCGTAGTACAATATAGTATAAGATTTATAACCATTATAAATTTCTAAATTTACATAGAGAAGTAGGCCTTAACCATAATATACAAATAAATAAGTGAAAATATTGGTAAAAAAATCCCTCTTGTTCGTCGCCAAATAAATAAATAAATTATTAAATAGAATATGGTTGTTGTGAGCAAAAATGGTTACATATATATGGGTATGTGCTTATGAAACAGACGGGAGGAAAGCAAAAGAAATTTGTTTACTGTGTTAGAGGCAAAAAAATAATATGGTACATAAATGTTCAAAATGAAAATGTGCCTCTGTGTCGTGCAATGATGTTAAGTTGAATATACATGTATTACTGCGCTCATTGTTATAAAAGCCGACGGGGTCGTCACCTTAAATGACATGAAGGCGTAAGAATAAAATAAGTGTTGGAGCACCACGCTAAAAACCCTATTCCGGTAGACACCGGATAATGCGCTTGTCATCGGGCGTAATGCACCATAAGATGGCTCATTCATCTTTTCGCATCAATTTTTATACGATAATGAATAAAAAAGTAAGAATCGGCGAAAAGGGTGATATTTTTCTACTTTGTGATCATGATTTCTGCAAGCGTCTAGAGATACTGCGCCAACACCGTAGTGAGTTTAATCCAAGAATTGTTGATGAAGTCAAACATTCATTTTTTTTTAAATTGTATTATAGGAACGCAAATTCAACTCCCTATTGCGAATAAATATGTTCAGTTCCGATCTTGTCCCCAAATATACTCTAACCGGCTGGTTATTAAAGGAACTCCACTGAGGTAAAAAAAAACCTACATAAAAATTCAATTTCTTATATAGATCAACTTTGGCACTTTAAACAGAAAATTTGCAAATGATAATTAAAAAAAAAATACTCTTCGATGAATTACCAATCGCATTTTTGTTCTATACTTAGCCGGTTTGGGTTCATTTTACACAAATAGACACATACTTCTAGAAAAAAACGGAGTGATCGAATGATTTAAATTTTGTACACAAGTTACTGGTATAGACCTTCATCAAATGGAATATCAATCTCAAAAAGTCTTTTCAGTCCAATCATGTCAAAAATCCTCAGTGGAGTCCCTTTAATATTAGAAAACTTTAACTCTGACATTATTGTTGCTGTTTTTTTTTCACTCGGAATAACATAATATTCTGTTGTTTCCTCTTCTTTTTCTTACAATGTCATATAAGTTATTTGCTTTACGTAAGATAATATCTGGACAATTTCAAACTACTCCCTATAGTTCACAATTGATTTTTTATTCTTTTCTTTTTCCAAGATCAAAGAATAATCTTAAATACGATTTTACAATCGGAGAAAATAATGCTGACGTCTTAATGTTGTTTTTATCAACAATCTAACTATAATCCTACAATCTCGCCTCTTCCTTTTTTTCTTATGCATTCCCTCTAAGACAAGTTTCGTGCATTAACGCATTTTAGTTAACTGACATTCTAGATGTTTTAACGTTGTTTTAAAGGCCGGACATATTTACCGACGGTTATCATTTCTGTTTTAAGACATTTCTCTCTAAAGATAAAAGCGCCTTGGCGTCCAATAGTGTCGCAGTAATGTATTTCCGGACTTATAGAGTTTATGTGTTCCCACAGTTTTACCTTTAATGGGTTATGGAAGAGAAAAAAATTCGTTTCAAAGAAAACGTTGTCTCGTGAAATCTGCTCGTGTCGT